CCACATAATCATTAAGAACACCATAATTATCAAGAATCTCCCAATATCAAGATTATCAAGATCCCTCATGGGATCATCACATCAAACATCAATAATCATCATCATATCTCGCCAATACACAATAATATGGGGAAACCCTAAGGGGGAATCATAACTATGAAAATAGGTTTTGTTGAGACATGGGTTACCTCTTAGCCTTAATTAATTCCTTGGCTATGAAGGGTCTTTCTTTAAGCTTTCTTGCTTTCTTGATTTCTTCTAGGGGGATTCTTGGAGCTCTTTGGGGTGGTGGGCGTTATTCTTGTGGTGGAGGGTTTCTAGGTGCCTCCTAAGTTCCCTATTTATATATTTAAGACTCCTAGTTAGGGCCTGAATGGTATGGGTTTACTAATTCTATTCCTTATAGGGCTAGGGCTTGTTTTAGGGATAAGGGTCCATGGTCCATAGTGGACCATATTAATTAAAGAGGATCCTAATCATAATCTGAATAGTAAAAGGCCTACTTCCTTTATTCCTAACAGGCTTAAGATTCTTATTCGGGCAAGGGTCCACGGTTCGTGATGGACCTTACTAATTAATTAAAGGTAAACCTAACATAATTAAATCATATTTAATTATTATTAACGGGATTAATTAAATAATTAATCCGGGATTGAAGGCCGTAACACGGGGTGTTACAGGTGGCGCGGTCGATGAGGATTCCTACGTAATGGCCGGAGCAAGGAGCGTTAAAACGTTGCTTTATTGACATGTACTCTGATCTGGATAGCCGGGTGAACGTACGGAGGTAATGTGCATACTGTATTTCTCTCATGTCATAGACCCAGACCAGGATCATTGATATGGATTCCTCTGCGACGATCATTCAGCGAACATGCATCAATTGTACGTGTCAAAATTCCATACTGCCATGACCAACACTGGTTTAATGGTTGTAGGAATGAAGATCGAAGCTGTGATTGCCAAAAATGATGGCAAAATCCGATCCATGCCATGCATTTCCGATCGGCAACTTTCGGCCAGCGATTCATATTAATATTCTCATTGTAGCTATATGAAAAGCCAAGGATCTCTAGCACGAGACGTGATGTTCAGGGCTGGCCGTCGTTAAATCTATCTGCTCTCTCGACCAACGATTCTCTCCCCTCCTCCACGTAAAAATCTCCCAGTTGGATCAAACCAATCTGCGAGAAACCGGCCGATCTAAAGTGCGGATAAGATCGCCTCCTTGTCGTTACCATCCTTAGCAGCAGCAACAATCCCTTCGACGTTGCGGAGAACGCCACGATAGATATTCTGGATTAAGAATAGAAAAGGTGGAAGGTGACGAGGAAACGCTAGGTTCATCATGAACCTTCTGCAATTGTCTGGGCATCAGAATGATTTGGTTCCCAATCAAATCACAAAGCAGTACTGTCCACACGAAATCAGGTTATGGTGCAGGGAACGACGATTGATAGAGATGGCAAGCAGAAATGAGAAACAGGCTGGGTTTCAATTTCATGAATATATAGTGCAAAATTGTGATGTGACGAGATCGGTTGAGTACCATGGTGGTCGCCACGATGACGGAGGCAGAGGCGGATGCCTCGACGACTCGATGAGAAGGTGGTTATGGTGGCGATTATTTGAGGGTGACGCGAGGTAAAACGTTTGTTATAAGAATCGCGAGAGTTGAATCTCGCTATTAAAGTAGAGAGCATTCTCGAGCCTGTACAGTCGCTTTCAACAAGAGAGCCAATGATGGAGAAAATTGACTCCGGGTATGTAATTATACGGGTCAATAATCTCACGTATAATATAAAAGTAGTAAAATAGAAGAACAATATAATCGCAATAATATTTCCTTCTATTGATGTAGGACATTACAAGTGGATTGTAATAGTGAGACATGATCCTGTAATAATCGCTTCAGGCTAATTTATACAAGATAAGGGCCAATAAACTTCCCTAAAGTAGTGGTAAGCCACAAGACTAAGTCTAGGTCTACATGGTGGGCCCACGAGACTAAATCAAGACCGATTGTTTTGGGCCTCGGAGACAGGCTCCAGACTTGAGACTTTTCTTGGGCTGCTCGGGTTATACATTCCTAGACCTGGGTCTCTATTATTATTGTGTCATTTCCAATATATCCATCATTGTGATACAATCCATTTTTAGTGTAATACATGTTAAAATGAATTTACAATATATTAAAAAGGAACTTGTATTAAGGTTTCATCTTGCAAGATGAATCATAGTTCGGGATATAATAATTGTCTTTTAATTTAGAGAGTAAATAAAATATGTGTGACTTTTAGACAAGTGCTTCCTTGCTTCATGCTTGGGGTTTGCTAATTTTATAGAGTTTCCTCATTCTCTTCTATTACGCGAAGCTTGATGAGTAGAGATAGAATGGATGTTCCCTAACAAAAATGTCTAAATCCAATTGTTGACTGTCGAGAGCTAGTTTTTGTATATATATATATATATATATATATATATATATATATATATATATATATATATATGTGGGCGGAGGCACCTTATATTAACAGGGGGGCTTCCCCCCAAAAGAAAATAATTTTTGAATTAGTATAGAGAAATCTGCAACATGGGCATTATATTAGCGGCTTGGCCACCCCTCCCCCCCCCCCCCCCCCCTCCAAAAAAAATTTTAGTATTATAATAGTTATTTTGTGATCCCCTCACCAATATATAAGGGTTGTTTGGTTCAAGTTATATAAGATAATTAAGATTATATTAATTTGGGAATATAATTCTCATGTTTGGTTCATGTTATATAATTTTTTCAAAGGAATGTCACATAACCTCCACATTAAGTTTTTAGCTATTGGAAGAGAATGTGAGATACCCTCCAATTTCTTAGGTAATCTCACATTCCCTTGTCTTATTACTAATTTTGTGCTTTTGGCATTTTAATCAATGTCTTATTACCGTTGTTTTATTTACCTACCTTAGTTTTAAACCAAACACAGCAATCTAACATTCCCCAAGGTAATCTAACATTTGGTGAATCAAACGCTCCCTTAGGGTAAGTTTTATACTCAAACCGTCCAAATTCTAAACCAACAAACCTCAAACGCAGTACACAGACAGTAGATTTTCTTCAATTTTCAACCTGCAAGTCTATAGGTAATTTTTCATTTCCTTTTTATTCTTTAAATCTTTGAATTTTTGTTATGAATTATTCTTTATTGGAGATGGATTTATCCGTCCTCACAACAACAAAAAGTTTAGATATTGTAGTTAAATGCCTAAATCCTCTCTTTCGTTTCCTTAGTTGACTACGGTAACCGCCGTGAACTCGACCCCCCGCACCAACAAATCCTGCCTTCGCCCCTACATATATGAAGAGAAATTTGAGCTTTTGATTTGTCCAGATCCGTGGCTCTAAACAAAAAGAGTACTTCTAATCTACACGACGTCATCTTCTCCACGAAATCATCTTTGATCTACTATCTTTGCATTTTGTTCAAATCATGAAAGCCACAAAATTGTCTTCTGAAAAGCACAACATTGTACACTGAAAAGCACAACAATGTGCTTTGAAAAACACAACAATGTGTTTTGGAATGCTCAACAATGAGCTCTGGAAAGCTCAACAATATGCACTCCATGACAAAAAAAAATGTGTAATTCGAAGGTACAATAATGTGCTTTGGAAGACCCAATAATGTGCTCTAGAATGCTTAACAATATGTACTCTAAAGCAAAACAATATGCACTTCGAAGGCACAACAATGTGCTCTGGAAGGAACAACAATATGCTCTAGAGGCTTAACAATGTGCTCTAAAAGGTCAACAATGTGCTCTAGAAGGTCAACAATGTGCACTGGAAAGCACATCAGTTTGCTATGCAAGGCTCATCAGTGTGCTCTGCAAGGCACATCATTGTGCTCGGAAGGGTACAACATTGTGCTCTGGAAGAATGAATAAAATGCTTTGAAAGACCAAAAAAAAAAAAAAAATTAACTTAGTTACACAAAATTATCATAATGCCACTGTGTTTTTTTAAATAGCTTTCATTCTATACCCTTGATCTGAACTGTATCAATGGATGAGATTAAACCATATTTTTCACCTAAGGAAAGCTTCTCATGGACTCATGGGAGGGTGGTTCTCATAGGAACATCACCATATATATATATATATATATATATATATATATAGTCCGGATTAGGTGAGGACTAATTTAGACCATTAAATTAGAATGATGTATGACTGAGATTAAAAGGAACAAATAACACGGATTAAGGAAACAAATCCCTTTAAAATATTAAAATATATAAATTCAAGGTAAATCAATCTTATTAAAAGATGTGCATTCCTATACAAAATATTGTGCATTCCTATATTGAGTGTTGTGCATCAATAACTTTATTGTTGTGCATTCAAACCCTGCCCAAAAATCCTACAGCGGACATCCCAATGTCCTACGATGCACTGAACTATGTGCTATAATGCACAGCTCTCTAGCCTTTGGTGCACAATTTACAACACTAGGTTGCACAATCAGCACACACGAATGCACAATCGTACTACCCAGGCATTTGTACATATACACGACCATCCAAATATAGACAATATATATATATATGATCAAATGCATTAGCCTCCCTAAGTGCATGAAACGGTGCAGACAGATATGAGCCATTGTAATGACTAAAAAAACAATAAAATGGGAAAATGTGGGCACATTTTTATAATTTCTTATGATCGATGTTGCATTTTAATAAATAGACATGGAAAATAGATCAGACAAATGTAGCGTAGAAGTGTTAGTTTTTGGTGTTTATGGCATGCATCCCAACTAAAGTGAGGGCATTACCTGCAGCATCATCACATAAAAAATTAAAGCAATCTTTTTACTAAAAGGATTAAAAGTAATCACCCCAAATGTTGACATCTTAACTGCCAAAAGCAATAAGAGATGATTAATTGGAATTACCACTATCATTATCATGTGACATCCATCATTTCTTCCCCATCAGGCTTCCCCAAGTTTCGCCGATCGAGACAGAATGCTTAGCTAGCTAGCTAGGAATCAATAACTTTTTCACCAATCTCCCACCACAAGTTAAGAATATAATCTCCGATCCAGTAATGGCAACTTCATAATTCCCATTGCCATCTTTCCTAGCTAAGCTAGCTCCATGGCATCAACAATGGCTGATGATAACTACTCCAAGAACTCATTACTGGTTTCTCTCTACTTGTTCTCTTGTGTTCTTCTCTGCAACTCCTTCTGTGCTGCGGCGGAGGAGCTTTCATGGGTGGAGAGCAAGGATACTGAGGAGGAGATCAGCATGGTTCAGAGCCCGCTCAAGAACTGCGATTTCACGGCCGGAAAATGGGTTTTTGATGAGTCGTACCCTTTGTATGACTCCCGGCGTTGCCCTTATCTCACCACCGCTGTTACTTGTGCCAAGAACGGCCGCCCGGATTCCGACTACGAGAAGTGGCGCTGGAAACCAAATGGTTGCACAATTCCAAGGTAAGTTTTATATGTGAAAATTTTAGGGTGTGTTGGGTTGGAACATGGGAATCGAAATGTGAATCAATTAATTGGTAATTGGAATGAAGTTTGGTGAAAGTCTGCTACTAGTTTGGTATTAGGATAGAATTGAAATGATTATTAATATTGATATTTGGTTATGTATGACTTTATAATTGGATTAAAGGTTTTTAAAATATAAAAATAAAAAATTAAGACAATTGATCTTAAGAGTGACAATAAAGCGAGTAGGTATGCAGGAAGTTGATATAGTGAGGAAAGATGCATGAGTAAGGAGACAATGAAATGAGGAGGGATAATAAGACTGAATTATTTAAATTAGGTAATGTATTTTGTAATTATAGGGGTAATCACTTTTTTTAAAACCAAAACCAAAAATTCAATTACGAAATAGAGAATTCAGAGGTACAAATAGGTCTCAAAGAGCCAAAACCTAGAATCTCTATACAAGAGGGTTGATTTGGCCAACTCATGGGCCAGAGTACGTATTACAAGTTCTTGGAACATGGTCTATAGTAACCATATGAATAGCCATCATCAAGCTGCGACACCCATGGATGATAAGACCCGCATATGAGCGGACGTTTGTGGAGCTATTTAGTGTTTTAAAAGGTTGTCAATTAAATAATGTGTATGAATTTAAAATAAATAAATAAATAAATAATGTGTATGACTTTCATTCTCATTCCTTGTGTCTAATCCCATGAACCAAACACACCCTTACAATTTGTGTTTTGTTTTATAAAATTGTACATTATTTTTTACAAACAATATTATTATTTGACTATCTTGGTTTGAGCTGCTCAATTATGAATAATCTATGTTGATTTACTCTTTTGCCGACTAAAATAGTAGTTTCTTTTAAAGTGCACTTATAGTAGGGACGATAAGATTTCCTAAATTAAAGTTTACAAAATACACGACATTGTTGTAGGTTTGATGCATTGGATTTTCTTGGAAAGATGAGGAAAAAGAGAATAATGCTAGTGGGTGACTCTATAACGAGGAATCAATGGGAATCTCTAGTTTGCTTAGTACAATCCGTCATTCCCCGTGCTAAAAAATCTGTCACTTACAATGGCCCAACCATGTCTTTCCATGCTTTGGTAAGAATTTCCTCTTTCTTTTTTCTTTTTTTCCTTTTTTTGTTAGACAATGAATATTGTTTGTAGAATATATATATATATATATATATATATATATATATATATATATATATGTATGTATGTATGTATGTATTTGTATTACATTGTGTTGAATGTACAAAGGACAAGGAGCTACTTATACAAGTTAAGGAAAGAACACAGCCACTCAATTCAAAATTCAAACACAAGGGTTGAGAGTTATTCTCTCAATCGAAACCTACTTTCTCTAACACTCCCTCTCAAGTAGGAGTATAAATATCAAACGTGCCCAGCTTGTTACATATATATATATATATATATATATATATATATATATATATATATATATGTGTGTGTGTGTGTGTGTGTGTGTGTGTGTGTGTGTGTGTGTGTGTGTGTGTGTGTGTGTGTGTGTGTGTGTGTGTGTGTGAAATCCGACTCCTGATCAGCCCTTTTGTGAATACTTCAACTAGTTGATCACCATTGCAAACGTGCACATAAGATATTATCCCTTGTTACACTTTATCTCATACAAAGTGACAATCTACCTCAATATGTTTCGTTCGTTCATGGAAAACTGAATTATTCGTAATGTGTATAGCCGCACGATTGTCACACCACAACCTTATAGGTAATCTGACCTCCACACCTATCTCTTTTAGAATATTATGTACCCAAACTATTCACTAGGCGCATGAGTCATAGCTCTATACTCGGACTCCGCACTTGACCATGCTACAACACTTTGCTTCTTACCCTTCCATGAGACTAAATTGCCTCCAAAAAATACACAATACCCTGTCATTGACCTCCTGTCACTAAACGAGCTAGCCCACAATCTACATCGGAGAACACCTCAGAACATCAATATCCACGATCAACATAAAGGACTCCCTTCCCAAGTGCACTCTTCAGATACTTCACAATACGAACAACTACTTTCCAATGAGTTTGTGTAGGTGAGCTCATAAACTGACTCACCAAACTTACAGGGAACGCAATATCTAGACGAGTAACCGTGAGGTAGTTTAGCTTTCCTACCAATCTACTATACCTTTCTGGATCTTCAAACACCTTCCCCTCATCTGCTACAAACTTGACACCCTGTTCCATGGGCGTATCGAACAGCTTTGACCCAAGTAACCCAGTATCACCAAGAAAATCTATCACATATTTCCTCTGTGAAAGAAATATGTCATTCTTGGAGTGAGCAACCTCAATACCCAGAATGTATCTAAGTACTCCCATATCTTTAGTATGAAACTCAATTCCAAGGAAGAACTTAAGAACGTCAATTCTTCCTGCATCGCTACCTGTGATTACAATGTCATCCACATACACTATCAACAAAACACACCCATGGTTAGTATGTTTATGAAAGATAGTATGATCACAGTCACTTTTCTGCATTCCAAATTTCATAACTGCACCTAAACCTCTCAAACCACACACTCAGGGACTATCTTAGACCGTACAGAGATTTCTTCAATTTGCACACTCTCTCATACTCCCCCTGAGGAACAAATCCTGGTGGTTGCTCCATATAAACTTCCTCAAGTAAATCACCATGCAAAAATGCATTTTTCCATCTAACTAGTACAAAGGACAGTGATTCATAGTAGCCAAAGATATAAATATGTGTACCGAAGTCAATTTAGCTACTTGGGAAATTGTCTCAGTTATAATCTATACCATATGTCTATGCATACCCCTTAGCCACCAAGTGTGCTTTGAGTCTGGCAACAGAGCCATCAGGGTTCATCTTCACCACATAAACCCATTTGTACCCAATAGTTGCCTTACCGGTGGAAGATCCACTAAATTCTAGGTCTAGTTCTCCTCAAGAGCAGCCATCTCTTCTCCCATCGCTTGCCTCTAGCCATCTTGACACAGCTTGTTTCAAAGATGTTGGACTTGAAACTGACTCTAACTGAGATATAAAAGCACGTGAAGAGGAAGACAAATGGACATATGACACAAAGGATGAAATGGGACTAGCAGAATGACGTTTACCTTTACGAAGGGTAATTGGAATATCAAGATATGTTGACGACGATTCTGGCAAGGAAGGATTGGCTGGTGGAACAAGCAAGTCTAGCGGCATTTCAATTTCTCTCGAACGCTGGTGATAAACCTGTGTAACAGGCGGCCTAGTCTCATCCCCACCCACGGAAGGATTGGTAATAGTATATGTAAGAAAATCATCTGATACTGAACTATAATCAAACGAGGTGAGAGTTTCTTTAAACACAGTATCCTCAAAGAACGACACATCAGCAGACACTAAGTACCTCCATAAGTCTAGAGAATAACACTTATATCCTTTCTGAGTGATAGAATACCCCAAAAATATGCACTTTAGAGACATATGATCAAGTTTCCCCCTTCGAGAATGAACATCCGGAACAAAACAAGTGCACCCAAACATCCTAAGAGAAAGGGAAAACAATGGGTTGGATGGATAGACAAAGTGATATAGAATATGGCCTTGGAGTACTCTCGAGGGTAAACGGTTAATCAAGAAAGAGGTTGTATGTACATCATCCGGCCAGAATACTTTGAGAACTTTAATCTGAAACAACAAGGCTCGGGCAACCTCCAACATATGGCAGCCTTTACGTTCTGCCATACCATTTTATTGGGGAGTGCCAACACAAGACAACTGGTGTATCATACCATTTTGACTCATATAGTTGGAAAAAGTACGGGAGAAATATTCTGTGTCATTATCATTCCGCAAAACTCGAACCATTTAATTGAACTATGTTTTAACCATAGAACAAAAATTAGAGAAGATTTCAAATAATTCATCTCTGGGTTTCATGAGATATAATCAAGTGTGTCTAGAGAAATCGTCTACAAAGCTTACAAAATACTTAAATTGAGACCTAGATGGCACCCGAAACAACCCCAATACATATGAAGAACCAATTGAAATAAAGATTCTACCCTTTTATTGACTTTATGAGGATATGGTACCCGACAATGCTTAGCAAACTTGCAAGACTCACATTGCAAGACAAATAGAGATTCTAAATCCGAACATAACTTCATCAAAATAAACAAAGAAGGGTGACCATACCCACAATGCAACTAGAAAAGAGATGTACTACCCACAAACTAATCGGAGCACCTTCAGGACTAGGAGAGAATTGTTCTAACACATACAGCCCACCGGTTTCCTTTCCTCTATCAATAATCATCTTCGTCAAAAGATCTTAAAACAAATAATAACTAGGAAAGAACATGACAAAATAGTTTAGATTTCGGGTAATTTGACTTATCAATAGTAAGTTTAACAAAAATTCGGAAGGTATAACACATGAGAGAGAGAGACATTGAGGGGGTTACACTGGTACTACCTCTATCCAAAACTGAAGTGCATAAACCATCTGCCAGGGTAACTGTAGTACCAAATAGAAATGAAGAATATTTAGAAAAGATATTTTGATTACTTGACATATGGTTACTGGCTCTAGAATCAATGACCCCTTGTCGAGACGAGGAAGAGACACAAGCAGTAGGATTACCTGTTGGACAAATGTGGTTGAGGAAGATGGTAACGTCTACTGATTGTCTTGAGGTTGTGAGGTAGGCACTTTCAGTTACTTGAACATAGATAACTCTTCATCTATCATCACAACTACATTACCGTTTGGTTTGGAGACAGAGTTGGCAAACCTCTATGGTCGGAGTGGTTTTGGACATTGGTTGCGTAGATGACCAGGTTCTCCACAATTATAGCAAACCCTTTGACCTCCTTGACCTCCTCCTTGTCCTCTACTAAAGTCGCAACGTCCTGGGACCTGACCCCTAGGCCTGCGGTTACTGGAACCTGTACCTCCATTATCTCTTTGCGTCATGAAAACATGTCTCTCTGAGACACCGCCACAAGTACCTCACACATTTTGGAACATAGTGAAAACTTGGTCTATTGAATCCAACTATTTATTCCCGAGCAAATGGGACTTTAGGACATCATACTCCTTATCCGTGATATATATGATAATTCATCATCACTAATCAATATATGATAATTCATCATCACTAATCAATAAATACTTTTTTATATAAAAAAATACTTTAATTTACACGTGATTGTTTCTGATAAGATCAGATCAAACTTTGTCTGATTGTTATCCAACAAAATACTAATGATTGCAATATTAATTTGTAAAACAAATGTGGATATATAGGATTATGAAACATCAATTGAGTTCTGCTGGGCACCATTCTTGGTGGAATTGAGACAAGGAGTAGAGGACAAGAAAATACTTCACTTGGATTTGATTGAAGAGAATGCAAAGTACTGGAGAGGAGTGGACGTTCTTGTCTTTGATTCTGCCCATTGGTGGACTCACTCTCAAAAGTGGACTTCGTAAGATCATCAACTTATTCTTGATATATATATATATATATATATATATATATATATATATATATATATATACCCTCCTATATTTCCCTTCCCCAACCTCGACATCATTTGATTAATAACCAAATTCATTTTTGAATTAGTGGTGGGGGTCAACCATTTTATGGACACCCACGTATAGTTTATCATGTCTATATGCATTTTTTTTTTGAAGGGTACATGCATTATTACCATTGAATACTAATATAAGGAAATATATTGTGTATGCATTTCTATGGTAATAATAATTGGAAAAGATAACATAAGTTATAATAGTAGAGATCTTTTTGTGTAAAAATTGTATAGTACAACTTTTATAGCATAATGTATAAAAGAAAATTTGGCAGAAAAAACGGACATAAATCAAGGATATACCTGAATTGAGACTTATTATGTTTTTAGATATGTGTGTGTTTATATATACAATCTTATAAATTCGTGATAGTACACATTAGTACATTTTAGATATGTGTGTGTTTATATATACAATCTTATTTTCATCACATTGACATGAGTAGTAGTACACATTCTTTAATACCAAATAAATTCGTGATATGATGATCGATAAGATATTCATAAAAAATACAAGGGTATGACACTTAGTACAAATTACATTGTTGTGGGTGGCAATTGGTGGTTAGCGGTTAGTGGTTAGTAAATTGTGTTAGCAATTAGTGGATAGTAGATTGTTTTAGCAGTTTTGACAAGCGGATTGTATAGTAATTTATAAAAAAAAAAAAAAAATATTTGGTAAAATTAGTTGTTTAGAGTTAGCGATTAACATATAAAATGACCTATAAAACTATAATAATCCCACATCAGTAGAAAAAATGGATTGGAGCATTGAGGCTCCTTAAATTTAGCATGCCCCATCCATTGATGGGCAGACATTATTGAGGAACCAAATTCCTTTAATAAGGAGCCAAAATAGCATATGTATTGAAGAGCCTGGCTCCAGTTCTTTAGTACAATTTTTTTGTTTTTTTTTTTCAAAATACTATGGGTGTTTTGGGAAAGATTTTTCATTCCCCAAAATGCCGAGCTGAAATGCTTCTCATTGCAATGTTTCAGTTTTTAGTGATTTGGAGCAAAACGCTACATCAAATCGTTGAATAATCAAACAATATTTTTGACTTTTTGAGTTGGTCAAACACCAAAATGACAAATTCATCAAAATTTTGACAGATCCTTCATTTACTAAACAAGCCTAAATTGTTTAGGGAAAATTTGGGGCTTAGTACTTAAGATCATATGAGAACTAGTAACTCCATGAAAACGTGAGGACTAATCTTATCCGTCTATCTAAAATACGGTGACATTTATGTAATTATGACAGTGCATTTTTAAACACTTGATAATGCGTTCATGAATAACAGACAGTGCATTCTAGATCTATAATAGTGCACTCAAGCGTGTGCACTATTAGTCGATGCATCCGTTGATGCAATATAATATCAAGCGTTTTCAAATGTATTGTCGTAATTATAAAAATATTACCACATTTTTTTTCTCATTTTTCTTTAATTTTTGACATTTAATCATCCTAGATGCATATAAAATTAGTCTGCATGTTCTCAAGATTGATCAATCACACATAATTGAGAAATTGAATATAAATTCTTGAAACATGCATTTATCATATTACACGGCACATCTCAAATAATATTCGAAGCAAATTATTTGAGACATGCATGTTGTATTTTCCTCTTATTATTAACTTGATTGATCGAGTATTTTTAAAATCTTACACACATTTAATTTCTATTGTTTTTTTCTTGTCATTAAGATTTTAATTTAAAACCAAAATTTTCTTTGAGATTTGTATCTTAAAATTATTGAAGCAGTGTGTAAAAATTTTTGCAGGTGGGACTATATCATGGAGGGAAGCAACTTCTACAGATATATGAATCCCATGGTTGCCTATGAGAAAGGACTCATGACATGGGCTAAATGGATAGACTTGAATCTTGATCCGAGAGAAACTCGTGTATTCTTTAGAAGCATGTCGCCTAGGCATAACGGGTACATTATAATACTTTTTTACTACTCCGTATTTTCTTATATTTGGCATTATACAACTTATTATATATATACAGGGTCCTATTCAGGTGAGAACACATCTTAACGTTAGAACATGCGGACTTCTTCAGTGATGCACGGTATGATTTTCATGAATGCACAATTCCACATCCGTGACTACTATAGGAATACACCGTGCATTACTGAAGACATTACTGTACATCCATGAAGAACTTATTGTGCATTACTAACGAAGTCCGAATGTTCTCATGTTAAAAGATGTTATCACCTAAATGAGACTATATATATATATATATATATATATATATATATATATATATATATATATATATATATATATATATATATATATATATATATTAAAATCATATGAGAACACTTCCTTAGGTGAGAACATGCGAACAAGTATGAGTGCACACAATCTAGTCCCAGACATGCCTAGATGACGAGCGCTTGAGACCCTAGAGTAGATTGTGTGCACTCATGTAATAGAATGTGTTCACTCGTACTTGTTAGCATGTTCTCACCTAAGAAATGTATTAATGCTCAAATGAGAACCACCCCTTTGGTGAGAATGTGAGAACTAACATGAATACACAAAATTTAATACAAAAATGCACACAATTTATTCCAGGGTAAATTGTGTGCATTGTGTGTCTAAAAGATTAAATTGTGTGCATTCATGTAATTGATTATGTGCATTTTTATTGTAGTTCGCATTTCTCGTCTAAGGGGTGGTTCTCACTTGAACACAAACCTATATATATTAATGATGAAATGAGAACTACCCTTTAGGTGAGAATGTGAGAATCAACATGAGTACACACAATCTACTCCAGGGTAAATTATATTGTGTGCATTGTGTCATTGTGTGTCTGGATTATTAGATTTTGTGCATTCATGTAGTAGTTCACAAGTTTTCACCTAAAATGTGATTCTCACTTGAACGCATATATAGACACGCACAGAGACACACACTCACACACGTACATACATACACACACTGGCACTGAATACACACATTACTTTTAATGAATTAAAAATGTCAAATTGTTATAAAAAAAATGTTGGGATAAAGTACAAATAAGCCACCGAAGAAAATAACAATTAAACCATCAAACTCAAATAACCTCCAATAAATCATTTAACTCGAAAAAAAAAAAAAAAAAGAACAATTAACATTGTCAGCAGATCAACTTCAAATTTTTACTGACTGAATTGCCAAATGTTTATTATTATTATTATTATTATTATTATTATTATTATTATTATTATTATTATTATTATTATTATTATTATCCATTTGGATAGTATTATATTTTAAATTAATTATAATCAAAATAGTTTTGTTTTGTCGAGATTTAATTAATTAAGTTATTATTATTTTTTTCACTGAATCTTATGTTTAAAAAATAATAAATAAATAAATTAGATCTAGACAAGACAAAATTATTTTGATTATAATTACTTAAAATATATTACTATGTAAGTGGATTATAATAAAAAAATGTAAATAAAATAAAAATTTAACAATCCGGTCAGCAAAAAATTGGAATTAACTTATTAAAATATTAATTGTTTTTTTTTAGATTCAATAATTTATTTAGAGGTTATTTAAGTTCAATGACTTAATTGATATTTCTCAAATAATTTAATGACTTATTTAAACTTTATCCTAAAAATTTTAACCACCGTCATGCCACTCGTGAATCACCATTTTTTTTTTTTTTTTGTCATTGTTATATCATCAATTGAGGTCTACCTTGATTGACGTATGTGTGAATAGTAGTTTCGTGACAAATGTACGGTAACCGTTGACCTTATTAATTATAATAAAAATTGTGATGTTTATTGTTTGTATTTTAACTATAATAATATGAATTTGATATGATGCGTGTGTTTATAGGCAGGATGGGTGGAAATGCTTCAATCAAAGAGAACCATTAGAGCAGTTGAGCCACCCGCATGTAACAGAGCTAGTGGTGATACTAAAACAAGTGTTGAGAAAGATGAGTTTTTCGGTGTACCTACAAGATATTACCACCATGTCTGCTTTGAGAAGGGATGCACATCCATCCATTTATAACAAAGTTGTTGGGCCAAGTCAAAATCAACACATGAGAGAGTATGGATCTGATTGTAGTCATTGGTGTCTTCCTGGTGTGCCTGATATCTGGAATGAGATGTTGAATGTGTTGCTCTGATAGTCATTCAACTTTAAATGATGACAATATATGCAATTTTTAAGATAACTAGTATTTGCATCCGTGCGATGCACAGAATGTATTTGTCATAATATATTAAGAATATTTGGGCCGATATACAATTTTTATTTAAATTATATCATCAATTATTATATAATGCAATTGAAGATATATATGGTTTGAGTCGTTTATGTTTGTTGATGTTATCATTGCTTGAATTCGAGTCAATAATTGGTCAAATTAACAGCTAATGTGTAGATGTACGCATGCGATGCTGTAACTTTAGAGATTTTATATATCATTGTTTAGGATTTTTATAAATTGAACAAATGTGCTCGTTCTCTAGCAACTTAGTTATAGTAATTAATTGTTATCCTAATTCATTTGTATAGATGATATATTTTTTGTCTAAATATATATCAATTTATATATAAAAAAAAAAAAACATAATAATATTGTATCACTTGTATTTTTGTTAGCATATTGTTTATTGATTAAGCATGTGTCACCATATTTGACTGGTAAGTTAGGGGTGAGAAACTTTGCCTTTGTGGGTGGTATTTAAACCGGTTGGTTCTTTTCTTCTTCCAAGGCTGGTAAGTTAGGGGTGAGAAACTTTGCCTTTGTGGGTGGTATTTAAACCGGTTGGTTCTTTTCTTGCATATACTAAAAGATGAAGTCACAAGGAAACAATATGATTATGCAATTGTCCACCTAGTGATAATAAGCGTGTTACTTTGTTCATTATAAAAGAGAGTTAATACCCAATATAGTTCTCGACTATAGTGATTTTGTGACACCCCGTAATCCAAATTCAATGAAGGGATTAATGGAGTAATTAATCCTAATCCAATTGATAATTTAATTTCTTAAATTCCTGAAAATTCAATAGTCGGGGACTAGTAATTAACTAGTCAACCCAAAGTTAAGTGTTGTACCTAAAGCTTCGTGACTAGTTCCCTTGTTCCCTTACACCTCTTCATTTTAGTAAGAGTAATAAAGACATTTCACCCTATGTTAGAATTGCAAGCTAACCTAGAGGACACCCCTCATTCTTTCCCCTTACACTTTCCAAACTTGAGCTCCCCCTTCTCTCTAAAAGTTAGATAGCTTTTCTTCCAAGCCAAGTTGGAGCTTTGCCAAATCTTCAAAGTTTGTCTCCAAGATTCCACCTTTCCTACCTTTGAGCATCTAGGAGGGTAAGATCTATGTTTATCTTGTGTTTTTAGTGTTTTCTAAGGTGTCTTTTCTTAAAGATAGAATCTTTATGATCTTTTGGTGTGTTCTTGAAGTAGGTGTGGAAGGTGAACCTTATTAGGAGCTTGGTGAAGTGTTAAGTGAAGGTTTTTGTCTTCAAGAGGTAACCCATGCTCTACAAAATCTATTTTGCTTACCTATATGATGATTTCTTGGATTCTACATGTGATTTTGCTATGAAATATGAGTGTTGATGCATTGTCTTGTGAAAATGCATATCTAGAGCTTGTTATTAGGGTTCATGTATGCCATTGCTTGGCTATTCCTTTGATTCAAGTCATTTTGTTGTATTTGGTGAGTTTTGGCATGTTTTGGACGTGAATTTGAGCTTGGAGTTGAAAATCCCCGAGGGGATTATTTTTGGTACAGGGTGTGTACCCGCGGGCGGGGCACCACCCGTCGCCCCACCCGCGGGGTACAAGGCCTCGTGGGAGTGGTTCCCGCAGGCGGAACCACGGGTGGAGGTCCACCCGTGGCTCCACCCGTGGGTACGTATATGATGTTGTTTGGGGATTTGTTCCCCGTGATTCTTTTGACTCGGTATTTGGTCTTTTGACTTCCCGATGTTCTTTTGTGGAAGTATTTGAGCGCCTTCTTGATGTTTCGTATGTCTAGAACTATATGGTAGGAATCCATGTAGGTTTTGGTGTCTTGAATCGTGCTAAGTGTTCAACATTGTGATTCGTTGAACTATGATGGTTCTTGTGTGTTCTTCGGAACTATGTTTGGTTTACCCGTTTGATAAGCATGCTAGTTCAGTGTTTAAATACTAGCATGTGTGTTGTTTGTCCTTTCCTTTGGTGGATGATAACTTGTGTTAATCATCGTTGTTGTTGGACTGTGATCCATTCCTTGATTGAGTATGGTTTCATATCTTCGTTGTGATCCGTTGATTGATTCCTGTTGTGGTGTGGTGTGTGTGGCTGTACCTGGATTGCACGATTAATGGTATGTGACATTAGTCACCAAGGTACGGCAGTGGTCCTCGTGGTGGCCATGACGTGATTATGGAGTTTGTGACCTTTGTGTAAGGTTCACGTATTTCTTGGGTGGCATGTGTTGCCGTGTGTGTGATCGGTACCCTCGTGTACTATGAAATCGGTGATCTTGTTGGTGGTTATTGGTGGGGGACGACGGTCCCAGGAGGGAAAAGGTTGGACTTGGATGTACATGGGTCCTGGAGGTATGGTTGGAACTAGACATAAGGTTGGGGGTAGCCATAAGGTTGGAACCGGGCATAAGGAAGGCATCTCAATTCGTGATGGGTGATGTCACGAAGGCTTGTGTAGCCGTTGTTGTGTGTTTCTCTATTTGTGACATGTGTTGTCACAAAGGCAATGTGTTGCCAATGGTTGTGTCTTTATTCTCTTGTGCTATGCATGTCGGGTGTTAATCTACTGTGTGATGGTAGATTATGCCTTGAGCCGTCCTTATGAGTCGTTATTGCTTCTTGACGTATTGGGATGTGTTCCCTTATCTTTATTGTGAGTGCAAAGAGTCTTGTGTTGATCTCTATCTTGGTTTTAAATTGATATATACTATATCTCGTTTCGCAAATGATTTTGTATACATATAAAATATCTACATATGATATTTCACATGTATTGGTGGGTTACCAGCATCATTCGCTGACCGGGTGTGGTCCCATATATATATATATATATATATATATATATATATATATATATATATATATATATATATATATATATATATATATATATATATCTGTGTTTCTTTCAGGTGTTGATTATATGAGGGCGCGGTCTAGAAGCTGTTAGAGTAGATCCCCTTTTCTTTACGATGATTTGGGCCTGCGTGCCTTTGTTTAGACTTAGACGTTATGTCGTTGACTTTGGTTTTGAGATTGGTAGATTATGTTGCAGATGTTTACGCCTGTGCGTTCACCGTTGTGTGAGTGTGGCATGACACTCTACGTTTTCCATCTAATTCATATCTAGTCTTCTGCTGTGTATGGTTTATGGTTAGTTTATCTGCATGTTTAATGTTTAATTTGGTATGGAAATCGGGGGTGTTATAGGTTTTATTCAATTTAGTCATAAGTGACTTTTTTGTATTCTATTTAGTCCTTGACTTTAATGATTTTACCCACTTTAGTCCTCTATTAATAATTCCGTTAGTTGGCGGTTAATAACAAGGTTAATATGGTAATTTCATTTTCCTTTTATTTTTTATCAAATTAATTATTAATTACATTTCCTATTTTTTCTCCTTCTTCTTCTTCTGCATAATCGATAAAATTCCCTCCCCTCCTTCCCTGTCGATGAGACACTGTACTTCCCTCCAAAGTTCGATACAATTCCCTTCCCTCCTTCCCTGTCGATGAGGCACTGTTCTTCCCTCCAAAGTCTAAAATAAAAGCTTGACCCTTTCATCCCATTCAAAGCAGAGTCACAAACACTCAACAACCTTTGCAAACACCTTAATAAAATTAAAATTTGCATCCATTGCACAAACTTCTTCATATAACCTTAATCCAAAACAAACACATCCAAGTGTCAATTTGTCATACAATATGCATCAAACATGTAATATGTCATAAGAGCCATAGTATATCAATTAACAGTGTTATACAAAATAAAAAGGGACATCTTATACAAAAATATTTCATACTAATGCTTAATCAATTAGTAGTGTCTGATCTTATCTAATATTTCATCATAACACTAGTCCTTGGTTTTGAAATTGTTGTTGTCCTTTTGATGATAGGTAGCTTGTACACCTTTTCTTTATTCCTTGGAACATTGACTTCTTCACAAGTAGCCACAAGAGGAATTTGAACACTGACATCATCTTCATTCGCAGGCTGAGTATGGACTGCAATAACTTCAGCAATTCCTGCACCAAATCCTCCATCCATAAGTTGTTCATTATCATCTCCCACATTCTCATATCCTTGATTAACTTCTGTAGTTGATGCATGATGATTATGAGGTTGCGGTGTCGTTTTGGTTCTTACCCTCTGTTTTGGATTTAGCTATAAACAATAATAAGCAAAGTAACATTAAAGTTAGTTGTGAACTAAAGTAATTAAATTTGTAAATTGAAATTTTAAACTTACCAACTTTTCTTTCACAACAGGATCTTTTGGACATCCTCTAGAATTATGACCTTTTTTTTTTTTTTTTTTTTTTTTTTTTTTTTTACATTTACCACAATGCAACTTGATTTGACTCCTACTGACTTTAGTGGGATCTTTTGACTCCTTTGGCTGCTTGACAGTTTCTTCTGAACTTTTTTTCCTTAGCTTTCTTGGCCTACCACACTTTGATGTCTTATACAATGGTGGAAGTGGTGGTTCCCTATCTGTCAATGGCCATTCTTCAGGCCCAGACATGGGCTTAATGGATCCTGCATAAGTTTTCAAGCAGCTATCTGTGGAGTAGAATGAGCTAACATAATCTACTACTGTTTCCTTTCCACTTTTCATCAAAATTGCACGAATAGCATGCTTGCAAGGGATTCTTGTCAGCTGCCATTTCCCACAATTGTATGATTTTTTACCCAAATCAACTTCTTGTTGATCCTCCCGCATCCCTCTAATTTCAAATAACTCATAATCACATTGATCACACAAATAACCAGCAACAGCCTTTTCATTGGCTTCAATCTTTGCAACAATTCTATGACATATTTTAGACTTCCAAGCACTAGTTTTTTTTCTACAGTCAAATAGTCTTACCATTATTTGCTTCCTTAAACCCTCAAGGCATGCAATTAGCGGTTGTTTCCTTGCCTCTAATATCATAGAATTAAAGCATTCAAAAATGTTGTTCACCAAGATATCACACTGTGGAGTTGTGGAAAAATGAGACCTCGACCATTC